AGAGCTTTTGTTATCATTCCTTCCTTTTCTATTCTTAGCCAGCCTTCTGATGAAATCCTTTCTTCTATTCTTTTAGTATAGTTTTAATATAATATATATCATAAAATAATAAATCAAGCCCTCTGAAACATGGAGTCAGATCCTCATCTCTTCCCTCATCCTCAGACCCCTGTGAACACGGTCACAGCTCAGCAGCTCAGCTGAAGCTGCAAAGCCAAGGCCTCTCTGCAGGAGCAGTGCTGGACAGAGGCCGAACACTCGCATGGATAGATGGAGGAATAACGAGAGCAGCTGCTCACACCATCAACCAGCTAGCTCAGGGAAAGGAGAGCACGAAGCCATGCCATAAATCCTTTGTTTATGAGCTCGCACAGCTCCTGGTGGAAGCAGCAGGCCCTTTGGGGCTCACCGTTCTCCATGGACTCCAGCAGCTGCCGGATGTGTTCCTTGGAAGACTCCACTTCCTCCTGCAGGCGCAGCCGGTCCGACACGGAGAACAGCTCTGAGTCGCGGCTGTCCTGCAGGAAATCCTCGTAGTGGCCCTGCAGGCTCTTCAGCGCTTGCTGACACTCCCCCTGAGCCAAGGATCTCAGCTGTGAGTGGAAAAAGAGGCATGTCCAAACATCAGGAACAATGTCCTGAGCACCAGCTGAGCCGCCTTCATCTGCCCAAGGGGTATTTTCAGAGGGGGAGAGAAATCCTTGTGCCTCCCCTCAAGCTGTGCTCACTCCCTAATGAAATGCTCAATCCACAATCTCTCAGCAGCAGCAAACTCCTGATGCTCTTTTTACTGGGAAAAGCTGCAATCCTTTTGCACAGCATCCCCAAGCTTTGGTTTTCAAGGTGTGAATTGTTCCTCTTTTCCCCACTGCTGTAAACTGTGACCCTTTTCATGGTGTGCACTGTTCCAGGTGTAAAGACTTTTGATTTGTCCACTCTCTGGTTTTCCCCCTCTCTCTGGCCACACAAGAGAGCAGCACAACCCCAGAAGCAGGCAGGGAAGTTCCTCTGTACCTTTTCCATGCTGAAGCTCTGCACCAGGGCTATGTCCTTCCTCAGGTAGTTCCAGGAGATGAGGCTCTTGGTGTTCATGTGCAGCTGGTGCCAGAGAGCCATCACCTTCTGGTACAGCTGCTCCACCCTGCAAGGGGAAAGGAGCAGCTCCATCAGCCCAGCAAACCCAGCCCTGACCCTGTTAATCCTCCAGCCATCCCTGGCAGAATGCAGCCCATCAATGACCCCAGTCTGGCACCACACAGGGAGTGATGCTCCTGCTGTTCAGTGCCAGAGATCCCTGAGGGGATCCCTCCTCCCAGTTTGTCATTTTTTTTCATTTTGCAAGCTACAGCAGCAGTCTCTGCAGTGGAGTTTGCAGAAGGATTCCTCTCCTCACCACAAACCACTCCCACACCTCCATCCCCACCCCAACTCTGTCCCCTCCCAAGTCACCTTTCCTGTCCCCAAGTTACCTGTTGGCCATCTCGATGGCCTCTTTGTTGGGTGGGGGGATCAGGAAGCAGACAGAAGGCACCATGGCCTCGTTCCCTGTGGGGCTGATCACCTTCCACTTGGTCCTCTGGGAATTGTCCTCCAGGACACACTCGTCGTTCCTGCAGATGGTGATCTGCAACAGCACCAGCACCCATCAGAAACCAGCAGCAGGGCTGTGCACGCCCGTCCCTGCTGCCAGCCCCTGTCCTGGGGCTGAGCCAGCTCCCAGAAATGCACAGATGGATGTGTTTTAATGGAGCAGCAGCCTGGGGTGGTGCCAGGCAGTGCCGGGACAGGAAGGGACAGGGGAGTCACAGGGAGGAGCTGGCTGCCACCCACGGGCTTGTTTGGCTCTGCATGATGAAGCCCATCCTCCTTGGAAGGGGAAAGAAACTCCAGCTCCTGCCCAGAATAAATCTGAGACGTGGAAATGTGCTCCAGGAAAAACACCCCTGCTGTTTCCCTCCCCCTGCCTTCCCCCTCCTGCTTCCCATTGACAAATCCTACAGCTCTCATCCCAAACCACCCCAGGTGTCACTCTTTGTCCCTGCCTTCCCTTCCCAAGTGCCAGCAGCACCCTGGCAGCCCTCACCTCGATCTGCCTGTAGTCACAGACAGCCTTGATGGGGATGGTGCTCCTCACGGCGTGCTCTGGGTTCCTGGGCCGCAGCTGCACGATGCTCTTGGAGCGTCCCACCAGGCTGGCCACGGAGCTCTTGGACTGGATCAGCTGCTCCTTCTCATCCTGGCAGGGACAAGGAGCATGGGCTGCTCAAGGAGGGTCTGTGCCAGGCTGCTCAGCTCGCCCCCACCCCAGTGCTGGCCTGCAAGGGCTGAGCAAACACCTCAGGAGGCTCCCGAGGCGGGAAGAGGGCTCAGGAGATGGGATGGGGCATCACTGCTACTCCCACTGCCCTGCAAAGCCACATGCACGCCTCTGCCTCTCTGGCTGGTAGGACAAGAAAATGTTTTCTTTCAAAAGGGTAAAAATAAGAGAGAGAACACAACATCCACCAAAACAAAGTCGCAGGAGCTGTGAGGGGCTGAGAGCAGGACAATGCCCAGCCCAAAGCTGGGGATGTTTGGCTGCCTGCAGGAGAGCCCAGGGAAGCATGCTCCCTCTCTAAAGCAAAGGATGAAAAGGTGTTTAAACCGATGGCTGGAATGGGAGATGATGAATTATGGGGATCAAACATCTCAGGAGAAAGGGCTCAGGGTGGAGCAATCGCACAGGCCTCTGGCTTTGGGGAGAAATCTGCCCAAGGAGGAAACTTTATTCCTACAAATCCCTGCTGGGTGTGGTGATGGCACCAACCAGGAGGGGAATGGTGGCAAAGCTCCCCTGGAACAGCCTCTGGAGACATGTGCAGATCACAACACTGGCAGCTCGTGCGAGTAGTGACAGCTCAGCCCCTGCTGGCTGTGGTAAAGGTTTCAAAAAAAAGGATCCCAGAAAAGGTTCTCCCTCATGCTTGGTACTCTGGGGTTGGTTAGTGTGCTAAGACAGTGGAGGAGAATTCAATGGTTAAAAAAAATTAAAATTAACTAAAATTTAAATAAAAGAATAAATGATTAAATAAACTACCTGTGCCTGTCCCAGGGAGCATGATTGGAAGAAATACAACTTTAACTTATTAGGTAAGAAAGAGTAATATAGCTGAGCTCAGGGCAGCTGCCCCAGCCCTGGGTTTGTGGCCACTCTCTGGCTGCCCAGAAGAGCCTCTCCCACCCCAGATGTGCCAGGGCTCCCAAACACAGCCCCTGGCTGCTCCAGGTCCTGGCAGCACCAGAGACAGGCCAGGAGAACCCTGAGAGAGGATGGGGGAGCCCCCAGTGCTGATGCACCCATCACCCCCAGTTAGGGCACCCCAGAGCCACTGGGGACACCTTGCTGTGCCCTTCTTGGTGACCACCTGCCTCCACACCTCAGTGTCCCCTCCTGGCCCTGCCACCACAGCTCAGCACTTCAGCCACAGCCCAAATCCTCCCCTGGCCCTGCTGATGCTTTGCTCCTTGGGGGTTGTTTTTAGGTTGGTTTTTTTCAGGCCAAATCAGGCAAAAAAGGTGACAGTGCCACGGCCTGGGCTCTGCTCTGCTCAGCTAAGCCAGGCCACGTGCTCAGAGATCAGCCAGGCTGCCCTGGCTCTCCCCCCATCCAGCAGCATGGATTAGCACAGGATTTGGGCTGGATAAAGAGCAGGCATTGCTGCACCAGCTCCAAAGCAGAAGCAGGAGCACCCTAAGGGCTCATTTGTCAGCAGGACTCGAGCAGGATGGGCATGGCTGGGGCAGGAGCAGCTCAGGTTGGGATCTTGCACAGCCTGCTCCTCACCCTGAGGACACAGAGAGGGCAGATGGTGCCTCTGAATGACAGTGGCCAACTCCAGCTCCACCACACAGCTGCAGCTCAATCAGCAGCTCCAAGGGCAAGCAAATCACTGCCTGAGGTGGAACACACACCAAAGGAACACTGTCGCAAACAACTTTTATGAAAAATCCTTTCCTTAGGATTTTTCCTCCTGAGAAGCTGAGAAGCCTCAAGAACAAAATGTAAACAATGGTTATCTGCTGCTGTGGAATGCAACAGGTAGATCTGTGATTAGTGATCTCGGACACAGATTCTGAGCCACAAACCTTTGTTATCATTCTTTCTTATCCTATTCTTAGCCAGCCTTCTGATGAGAACCTTTTCTTCTATTCTTTTAGCATAGTTTTAATGTAATATTTATCATAAAACAATAAATCAAGCCTTCTGACACATGGAGTCAGATCCTCATCTCTTCCCTCACCCAAGAACCCCATCACGGAACACAAACCACATCCCACCAAGCTGTGGGCATAAAGAGCTCAGTTCTCCCTGGGGAGCAAAGAGGTGTCCCTGTGGAGCAGAGCAGGTGCTGGGGTGTCAGAGGACCCACCATGGAGTCCTGCAGCAGGTCCTCCAGCCGTGTCAGGCTCGTGTTGTGGTCGCAGGAATATTTCCTTTTGATGGAGTCCTGCAGGTTGCGCAGGTACGTCTCCGACTCCCGGGCGTCGCTGAAGAACTGGCAAGGCAAAAAGGGTCACAGGAACCTGGATAAATCCCCTGGAGACAGGCAAGGAGCACCCCAAAGGCTCAGCCAGCAGCTCCTGACACTGCTCTGGATTTAGGGCAGGATCATCCCAGCTGCATGAGCAGAACTACAGGGAATTGTTGATCCCTTTTTCCCCTAGAAATGCCCAGAGAGCAGCTAACAGATATCCCAGAGGAAAAAAATCCCTTCTTCCCTCTTCATCAAGGACAACAGCAGTGTGAGGAGCTCATGGAGTGGGATTCAGCAGATGGGACAGAGGGAATTTGGCCTCAAATACCTGGAAATAGGCAGCGTTCTCCTTGACGTGCTGCTCCACGCACAGGCACAGCTGCTTGATCCACTGCCACTGGGTGTGCACAGCAGCACTGTAGGCCTGTGGAAAACACAGCAAAAAGCACTGGAATAGGGAATTCACAGCCAGCAGGGGCACAGCAAGGACACAGGAGCCTGAGGGAGGGACAGAAATCACCAAAATCTGGCTGCAGCCAGGAGGGTTTGGACACAGGAGATGGCAGACCCTGCCTCAGTGTCCCCATGTCACCCATGGTGCCAGAGGCAGGAACAGTTTTGCTTTTACCCCATGGAAAAGGTTCCCACAGCCCTTTGCTTCACCACCACGGTGTCCCTGGAAGCCAAGGCCATTCCCTGCATCACCTCTCTGTGGGAAAGGCTCATTCTCTGTGTGTTTGTGTCTTGATTTGAGGTGG